CAAAATGCCAAACTTTTGAGAACACTGTCCAAAGAGAAAATGACAAAGCTCTCAAAAAGAAAAATCAGTTGACTGAGGTTTAGAGAGTTAAATGAAGCATGAGGCTGAAGCTAAATACAAGAGTTACAGGTCCAGCTAGGATTTATAGAGAGAGAAGAGTAAGGATTAGGATAATTTGTAATAGAAACCCGAGCGAGTTAATGAAGGCAGATATTACCTCTGGGTGGTTAGCTTTCACATAAGTTGTGTTTGTTGTGTTAAAAGTTTGTCTCTCTTGTGTACAGTGCATCAGTTAACATATTTTATTCACTGTAGAAAAACAGATTTTTCAGGGCTGACATTTGTTTTGATTGGTCAATACCTATGTTGAATCTACTATTAAATATTTTAATACTGGCTGTAAAGAAAAAATAATGTCAAAATAGGGAGCTCCCTGGTGGCCTAGTTGGTAGGATTCTGGGCTTTCACTCCTGTGGCCCAGATTTAGTCCCTGGTCAGGGAAATGAGATCTTGCAAGCTGCCACGTGGCCCAAAAAACAAGGTTATTTCAAAACAGATAGCTAAAAGGAAAAAGTTAATGTTTACTAGAAAGCTGCTAGTTTCAACAGCCTAGGGTAAGTGGACCACATAGTAAAAAAAATTAGGGAGTAATGTCACCACCGCCATGCATGTACGCTCAGTCAGGTCCTACTCTTTGCAACCCCATGGACTGTAGCCTGCCAGGCTCCTCTGTTAATGGAATTTTCCAGGCAAGAAATACTGGAGCAGGTTTGCAATTTCCTATTCCAGGGGATTTTCCCAACCCAGGGATAGAAACTATGTCTCTTGTGTCTCGTGTACTGGCTGGATACCTGTTAATACCTGCCAATAGATACCTACTAATAGCTGGTATCTATTACTCTATGGCCTAGTGGTTGAGGTTACGGACTTTGCTGTTAGCCAGACCTTAATTCAAGTCCCAACTCTGCCTATACGACTTTGGGCAAGTTGCGTACCTCTTTTAAATCTTCTATTTATCTGTTTTATGGGAATAATGTGCAGGATTCTTACAGGACTCAATACAATCAAGCATGCCAAGGGCTGAGAGTAAGAGACACCAATTCCGGAGCGAGGCTGCTTGGGTTTGATCTCCACACAGCAACCCACCAGCCCTGTGACCTTGGGCAACCGAGCCTCTCTGCGCCGCAGTTCTCTCATCAGTAAATGGGGAGATAAAAGCACCTATCTCAAGAGCTCTTGTGAAATACATAAGTTAATTGACAAAAGTGATTTGAATAGTTCCTGGCACATAGCAAGCACTGCATGCATGGTAGTTATTTTCATTATTAAACTGAGCCTCTACAGAATAAGAAATCAGAAAATATTAGAAATCATTATTATCATTGCATACCTAATATTATCATCACTACAGCTTTTTCAAGAGGTTTGGTGGTAAAGAGAAAGAAAATATATTTACTTTTTCTCTTAAACAAGGAAGACCTAAGCATATTATAGAGAAAGGGGACAAACAATACAGAAAGAGAAACTTCTCTGAAAATGTAATAGACACAGAATCATTTATGAGATGAAGCCCTGAGGAACTCAGTTTCCCTCTTTGTAAATATCATCTGAAGAATCTAAGAGACACAATTTTTAAAGATACTTTGGATGAAGGTTTAAGACAGAATATATACCTTTAAATATACCTTTGAACACATAGACATATATTTACATTTCTTCTACAGAATGCATTTTCCTTTAACAGCTACTTGGTTTTAAAATATTTAGCTTCTCTTTTAGAGATCTGCCCACAAACTCCTTCATCTCCCCAGAAGTTCATTTAAAATGGAAATTTTAAGCAAAACCCAGGAAGAAAATATATACAATAGAGAGGGAAAAGGTTACAAGCAAGCAAAGGTTTTTCTTTTAAATATTTGTTTTTAAATTTCATGTTTGGACTAATTATTAACAATATCCATCAGGGAAATGATGCTAGTAGATGTCTATGGACCAAAATAAAAGATTGCAGTTATATATTTATATATGTATAAAAGTTAAGATTAACAACAAATGGATTTAATTTTCACCTCTATGATTGTGGGACAACCATAAAGCAACCACTATGTTTCAGACACCAAGGATTAAAGAACAATCAAAGTGGAAAAGCCACAGTGAAAATTTCTCATTCCAACACAATCTGCCTATAAAAGGAACAGATCTGGAAAGCCAGTCTTAACTCTATCATTAAACACTTTTTTTGTCAGTGAAAATGAGTACCACTACACTAATTTCACAAAGATTTCTGGACAGTCTAGCCACTTAAAAAGTTGTTATATAGTATCATAATAAACTCATACGTTTAAATAATATTACATATTACTGCCCACTCTTTAAATAAAATAGAAAATAACCATGTAAACCAAAAGTACTTTATGAATTAAGTCACATTCTAATGATTTACAATTTAAAAAGTGATTCCTTGAGAAAGCATTCCTTTCGCTTTCTTTTCTTGATTACTCCTTAATACCATCTCTCAGGGGAGAAAAGTCCCTAAAATTAACACCTACAGGGGGAAAAAAAAACTAAGCTTTATACCAAAGTAGGAACCATATTTATAGGAAAATGCAGCTCATTTGAAGCTGCCTCTGTTCAGAAGGGACCCTGAGAAAAGGTAACACAGAAAACAGGATGCTTTACCATTGTCACTGGAATCTTATGCCCACATATTATTTGTTTCTATCCTGTAATTCCTGGCATATCTACCTAATTAGAATATTAAACAGTTATTCTTGAATGACCTTTATTTCTCTGCCAATCAGGAAAGTTACTTTTCTACCCTCCCCGACCTCAAACAGCTCCTCAAATGGAGGACCAGAGGACGTATGGTAGGTGGAGATGGGAGGGGTAGGGAGGTGGGTTGGAGCAGAACTCATATCCAACAGGAATCATCATCATTCAGTCCCCCTGACCTTTCTGCATCTTTCCACTCACCTGTGTGAAGAGATCGCAAGGGAAAACAAACCCCATGGAAATAAGGGAGAGCTGAGCACTGTAAAGTGCTTCATTTAATCTTCCTGCTGTACAGGTGATGACTCTGCCCTGTAGAAAGGATTCCCAGCAAGTAGGTCCTAGAACTGGGATGAGAACCTGGTGAGTGATATAAAACCTGTGCTCCATTTCTTTCCCATGTCACTCTTCCTCTCTAGCAGCATGACCCTATTGTCCAAATACATAATCCTCTTGCGTTCTTTTTTAATAAAAAGCACTTTCATTATGGAAATTTTCAAAAAAACCTCAAGGTAGAGAGATGCACTCCCATGTGCCCAGTGAGCCCTCCTGGTTTCACCTGCCCTCTTCCTACCACTTTTTTCTCTGACTTATTTAAAAACAAATCCAAGACATTTTGTTTGAACTTCAGAATGTGTCTAACAAACCAGATCTTGAACAAACCAATATAACATTACCATACCCCCCCAAAATTATTCCTGAGTATTGCTGTATGCCCAATTACTCTTATCTTACCCTAAAATTTCTCTGCTTATCTTAAAAATGTCTTCTTGCAATCAATTTGGATCAAGATCCAAACAAAATCACGAGGTCCACACATTACTTTTGGAAGATGTATCTGCCTAATGCATGCCAGTTATCTTGACCTCCTTCCTTATCTTTTTAAAAAAATGCCACTTACATGTAGTCTTTATGGTTGATAGAGTGTGTTTCTCTAGCTCCTTTATTTCCTATAAACTGCTAAGAGCTTGATCAGATTGTGGTTCACTTTTCATCGTTGTCTCAAAGCTGCTCAGGTGGTGCTACTGACTCCCTACTGCATCACCTCAGGAGGCAGTTAATATCCAGCTGCCTTCTATTACTGTTACAGTAATAGATAGTTCCTCAGGTGATTTGAGTTTCTAAAAGCTGATCCAAGACCATACATTCAAGGCAATATGCACATGGTGATCAAGAACCCAGATTAATTGAGAGCTGCCTGGGAGACAACAGTGGTTATCACTCAACAGACCAGGAACTGTTCCTCTAGGTAGGTTGAAAAGTGGGGAAGAGATGAAGGGTTCAACTCGAGATGGAGAGGAGCCCAGGAGATGAACATGATGCTCAAAAGAACAAGATACTAAGTTCCAGTTATAGTTTTAAAAGACATTTTACACACCTGTATCAAATAAATATCATTTTACACACCTTTTCCAAATAAAGTCACAGAGAATTTTAGAGTCGTTAATTTTATGATGTTAATTCACCAAGATAGTCTTAGGAATTTTTCTACCTTTCCTGCTAAAGAGAAAGGTTCTGATCTCTAAGCCAAAGGTTCTCAACTTGACCTCAAAGTATATTCTCCTGGGAAGCTTTAAAAATCCCAAGGTGTGGGTCCCACCCAATCCTGATTCAACTGCTGTAGGTTGGTATTATTTAAAAGTCTATCCAGGTGACTCTAAAATGCAGCTGTAATTGAGAACCACTGTTCTTAGCTAAAAATAAAGACAACAGCAGCTAGTATTTACTAAGCAAATACTATGTGTCAGGTACACTCTAAGCACTTCACATGTACTAGTCTCATTTGCTATATTACAGCCGAGGAAAGAGAGATCAGGTAACTTTCCTGAGGACACAGAGCAAGCTAAAAGCAGAGTTAGTACTTTACTAACAGGAAGTTTGAATCCAAAACCCGTACTCTTAATTACCATGATATACTGACTCCTAAGCATGACTTATATTTAACTGCAGATAAAATTATCAAAGGAAAAAACCAATACAAAAAGATAATTAACTTCTACCTCCTTAGAAGCAGTAGAGTGGTATCTTGTTACAAAGGAACCAACACAAGCTTATTAGAAAAGTGGACAAGACAGACAAGAATCTTCTCTTCCCAAAAGAAGATTCAAGTTTAAGATTTCCAGACATTTCAGTACTTTCCCACATATCCTATGGAGCACAGTTACTCGGTGTTAAGCATCTAATACGACTTCAGTTCTAAAACTCTGGGCACGGATATATTGAAAATGTCCTACCTATTTCGGTTCTACTAACTCCAATTCCATTGTAAATTCTCAAGTAATTAAAGTGGCAAGAATCAGAATCTTCGATGTCAAAGTCACCAAATTTGATGCGCACTCTCTCTCCCGTCTTTACACGAATCTCCCATTCGCAAACAGTGCTGTTAGGATAGGTGTGTGGGTAGTTTATAGACGTCAGGGTTCCACTTTCAGGACCTAGTACAGTATGTCCACATCCATCACCTTAAAAAAAAAAAGTTAAAGAAGTGATATATTATTCTTTACATCTTTAACTTACACTATAAATAATCAGGGTTTTGTGAATATTTTAAAATATGTATGACATCAGATATTTCATACCAACCGCCAATACCTCCCATACACAAGATAAAGTAGGTGACATGGTTCTTGGTAAATCTACTTGTGTGAGCCAGGAGAAGCCAGGTTAGGTCAAAATAATCAATGGTTAGCTTTATGAGTTCAAAGAACTTTCCAATCAGAATAAACAGAAGTAAACATAACTTAGTAACAATTATACCATATTTATATATACATATCATAATAAATCCAATCTTTAAGAGTATTAATTCACAGTAATTGTTCAAAATAAATAAAACTATAAAAATAAATCTACATGATCAGTTTCATCTATTTACTTACGAACACCACAAGCCTCTTCTAAAATCTCTGTAAGAACTTGAATGATTTCTAAAAATACTTAAGCTATACAAAAGACTGGGGCTTCCCAGGTGGCTTAAGTGGTAGAAGAACATGCCTGCCAATGCAGGAGACTTAAGAGACCGGGGTTCGACCCCTGGGTGGGAAGATCCCCTGGAGGAGGGCACAGCAACCATTCACATCTTGGGAGCTGCATTATTTGTTCCAGAAATTCCCTCAGCAACTGAATATTCCCTAGCTAACTTAACACACTGTAAAAATCCAATATCTGCATTCTTTCCTTTATCATAAAATGTGCTATTTCACTGAGCACCTGGAAAGAGACAATAATACTGATTTAAAAGTTTCAGCTGCTGCTCCAATTGTATCATTTAGCATTCCTTAATGATGGGATTCAAATAAATGTCTAATAGGAAAATGAATACATCCTTTCAAAATGATAGTATTTTCTCCTTCAAAAGAGCTGTTTATGATCACCTTTTGGAATAGTTTAGAACTTAGGGGAAAAAAATACTATTAAGAGTGACACTTCTCAGTTTTAACCTCAATATGGATACAGACAAATTTAAGAAAATTTTCTATTATCTTGATTTTTTATTTTTAAGAACAATGCAGCGCTGATTTTATTTATTAGAACAGAGTTTTAAAGGCCTATGAATAAGAACATAGTATCTAAGAAGTAGCAGTTGTAAAATACATGTTTATTTGCAAGGAGATCCAACCAGTCCGTCCTAAAGGAAATCAGTCCTGAAAATTCTTTGGAAGGACTGATGTTGAAGCTGAAACTCCAATACTGTGGCCACATGATGCACAGAGCTGACTCATTTGAAAAGACCCTGATGCTGGGAAAGACTGAGGGCAGGAGAAGGGGACGACAGAGGATGAGATGGTTCGATGGCATCACCAACTCCATGGACATGAGTTTGAGTAAACTCCTGGAGTTGGTGATGGGCAGGGAGGCCTGGCATGCTGCAGTCCATGGGGGTCGCAAAGAGTTGGACACGACTGAACAACTGAGCTGAACTGAATTGAATGAATAAAGAAACTGTACATTAACCTATGAAAAAGTTCTCTCTAACTAGTCCCAAAACTAGCTTCAAGGAAGGAACAACAACTCTGTACCTAGATTCTGAGGACAATACAATTCTGAGGACAATTAGTATCTTGCTAATAAAGAAATTTTACTCTCAAATCCACATTAGTATTGTTACTTAGTCTACTGAGGTCAATGCCAACATCTGGCTTCTTAAATCAATCTCTCTCTGTTGGTAGCTTTTAACCAACATTGTGCTTAGTCACTCAGTTGTGTCTGACTCTTTGTGACTCCATGGACTGCAGCCCACCAAGTTCCTCTGTCCATGGGGATTCTCCAGACAAGAATTCTGGAGTGGGTTGCCATGCCCTCCTCCAGGGGATCTTCCCAGCCCAGGGATCGAACCCATGTCTCCCTCATTGCGGGCGGATTCTTTACCATCTGACCCACCCGGACTTCATTTGTCTTCTACACCTGCTCTCACTCCACACACAAAAATGAGGCATTGTGGCTCAATGATATCATAATACAGAAAGGCACCATTAAATAAACCTGTGAGTTTTTGTAATACATCCACTGACCTTTTACAAACATAAAATTTAGAACGTCATACAACTCAGAGGAATAGAAAATAACCACAAATTTCCCCCTGAAACTACCATGAAAATACCTTTAACATCACTTCTGGGTATTACCTAAATTAAAAACACAGGGATACAAAAACTTCCCTTGTGAAAATAAATGAATTATAATTTAAATAACTTTTGAATAATCACCAACATTTTTCCTTAGAGAAAAAGACAATCATCCTAAGAGAATGTCTATTAATAGCAATATGAAACTAGTCAGAAATGTACTCTTACCACTGCAAAGATGAAACCAAGCTTTCTGGAAGTGTTTCAGTCTTTAAAAAGTAACCCTGAATAAATGAAGTAATTCAAAATATAAGTGTATTTTCTTTAGTATGTATAAAACTAAGGCAGTTTTTTAAGTAATTAGAAGTGTTGATGGATTTCAGAAGGCCAAGAATTTTGCTATTAACAGCTGAAGTCAGAACTTGGTAATGGCAGATTGTGGCATTTCATGTATTCCCCACAGGCTATTATTTAACCTAAGGTTGTCATGTAAAAATGAATTTTTCAAAAAGACCACAAGCAGAGTGTGAGGAGATATCTTTTTTAGATATCAATTTTTAGATATCTTTATGTTCATATTTGATTCTTCATAAACGCACAAAACGTCTTTTTGCCTTTTCCTCTGCGCAGTGTAGTTCTTACAAAAGTTAACAAAACAAATACTAACGGATGAAAAACAGGATTTTTGCACATGTGCTGATGAAGAAAACAATTAAAATGGAGCTGTCTTTTTTTCAGTATCTTGTGTAGGGGGAGGGCATGAACAGTCCACAAGTTATGTGCCAAGAATGTTCTAAAATATGTGATGGAGTTCAGAGCTTTTCTCCTCTTGCAAACAAGATGATATGCACTAAAGTTAAAAGGAAGTCTCAAACCTAGTGCAAAGCACAAGCCTGAATGTTTCATATTTCCAAGTCTATCTGATAAGTTTAACCTGATTTGATAAATAGTTTAGCTGGCCTGACCAAATACCTACTGCTATGAAGAACATGTTTAGAATATTCCAGTTGGAAAGGGATACTACGCCAGCAGTTTTCAAATGTTTTTTCTCTGTTATTACAAAGTAAGAAATGTATTTTACACTGTGACTCAATATGATTTTAAATATATATTCCTGACCCACCAAAGGGTCCCACCTGCACAACAACAACAAAACACTGTGTACCACGCAACCAAAGGTGACAATGTTGAATTCTCAAATCAAAGAAAGACCTTGTGCTCATTTTTGCCCCCAAATTAGAAAATGTGCTTCCAGTTTATGTCTACAGTGCTTAAAAGTGAAGCCTCGTCTACACCAAAATACTGGAAATGGGACGACATATTTTAAAACAGCACTGAAATCGGCAAAATATTATCAACAAATCACCTAACACAGGAGAACAGAGGTTCTCAAACGGGGATGGGGGACATTGGAGCAATTCTACCTTTCATTTGGCAGGGCATAGAGATGGGTGGGAAAGATGCCCTGGAGGAGGGCATGGCAACCCACCCAACCTGACTGAGCCACTAAATAACGAGAGACAGGTCACCACTGGAGGGGAGGGTCTACTAGCACACAGCGTAGAGGCCAAAGGTGCTGCTCAAGTATCTTACAAGGAACGGAACAGCCCCCAAGAATAAAAGGGTGATGGACCCAAAGTGTCAAATAGTGTCAAGGCTGAGATGGGCTGACTTGGAGAAAAGGCTAGGGCGTCTCCAACAGAAGATCTGAGCTAGTTCCTTTTCCTCTGGCTAAGGGTACAACCCAGGGAATAGTTTTTCCCACAAGGTCAAAGAAATAAGCAGAAAGCTTATTTTTCTTTAAGCCAAAGAGGAAAAAAAAAAAAGTTCTTATTACTCTGCAGCCCTCAAGTATTTTTCTTGGTCGGGGCCCCTCACTTAACACGAGTGTTTGAAAAAGGACGGTAATAGGGTCAGGAAGTAAGAGTCTCCAGATTTTCTGCTTAGCTTTGTAACTGGAAAGAGTAATAATCTGTGACCAGGCTAACACCACCTACTATTACTCACTTTCACAAGGTAGAATTGACAGAGAGTGTAACCACTACTGGAAAAATAATTTTCAAAATGGGTATCACAGGACCAATCCATACACTCACTCTCATCAGTAACTCCACATGGCCAGCTCTTTCTCCCTCTCCAAGTCCATCATCACCCCTGTGCTTGTCGGCTACTTCTTCTTCCCTAGATGGTCTCTACCAGACTATAGTGGACCATAAAGGGTAGGAAGCCTCTTGATGCAATTTTTGAATTTTAATTTTATTTCAGTGGACAGAAAACACTGGAATTTTATTTCACTGCCCCTTTGGCTGCAGATGTATCTAGGGGATTACTCAGAGAACATGTGTCCACTTCCTCCAAATACTGTCAGGTCAGATGTGGTAAGCCAGATACAAATTTTGATACTGCTCCAGGAAAATAGCTGAGTAATTTTTTTTTTATTACATATCTCAAGAGAAAACACAAGGAATGTTAATTTAAATAGCAGTGAATTAATACAACAAAGAACACATGCTTATTTTAGGCTGCTTTCTAAACATCAAGTGTGTTTTTTAGATAAACATGTGCTCACGATTCTGATTTTATGTAACCCTCCAACTATGTGACTACCCATATTGTAGTCACATTAGTATTAAAAATAATAGAAATGATCTTATTTAATTTTATTAATATGAACACGAAATGACTTATAAAAACACTTTAACAAGAACAAACACAAACGTAGGAAACTTGCATAAATATGCCGAAAATGCAAGGCAACTTTCATTACAATCTTTATAAACTAGGAGAGGCTTATACTTTTCCAGTGGACTTTCAAGGGTTTTTGTCACGGTGCATGGGTGAGTCTGACTGTATACTTCCTCTAAATATTAGTCACTTCTGTCACATCTTGTAACACA